CGCTGACCGGTGGCTGTGCGCAGGTGGAGCGGATCGAGCGGCGGTGCCTGGAGCTCTTCGGCCGTGACTACCGTTACAGCGTGATCCCCAACGTGCACGGCGAGATCTGCGCTCACTACCCGCGGCACATCGTCCTCCTGGAGCGCGACGCCGGCGCCGGCCGCGACCCGTAAGGACCCCCCGGTCCCGCCCTGACCCCCGGCCCGTAGGGCTGACAACCGGCAGGGACGGCTTCGCGATTTGCTCTGCGGAGCTTTCACGCCTGGCGGCTGCCGCTCTGGGGCTCCTGCCGGCCGGGGGAAACCCCGCCAGTCTGTGCTGAAGCTAATTATAGCCGGCGGTGTCAGCCGCCGGGTACGCCGCTCCCGGGACACCCCTCGCTGCCTGCCAGGGCTGCGCTTCTCTGCCAAAGCTCCTGTGGAGCTCCTTCGGGCTCCCCAAGGCTCTTGGGCTTCCTTGGTGAAAGCTGCTAAGCTAAGCCTGTACGTTGGGAGGCGTGAAGGCAACAGGGTGCCCAGCCCTGCTGCGTGCTGTCCTCGTGTACACCTGGGCATGGTGCTGGATCCTAACGATTGCCGTGCTGCAGCTCACCCCAAAGAGCTCGTGTCTGAGAGCAGGACTGTGTGATGCTCTCTCTGACTTGATGAAGTGCCTGTGGTCTGGCTGGAAGGCCTCTGATTAGAGTTTTAGTCTGAAGAGTGACTTGGGGCTGGGGAGGCTGGGAGGGGCTGCACAGACAAGACGATCTCAACAGAAATAGTCTGCCCCCGCCCCGGTACGTGGGTCAGTGGGTGCTGATGTTTAGTGGGTTAAGGGGAAACGCTTGCTTGCAGTTTAGTGCAAGTCTAAGCCAATGCCTTTCTGGACTTTGACCCACAATCATGTTGGTCTCCCTTCTGGCTGAGCATTAGTTTCTCCCTGTAGTTCTAACAGCAGCCTCTCATTTTTTATCTTCTCTTCCAACAAAATGTCACGCAATTTTGCAGTCTTAACTGTGTCCACGACAAGGGTAACGTGTTCAAAAGGAGGATGGTCATCGAGTTCCCCTTGCACGTCCAGCTGCTTTGTCTGAGGAAGGCAAACCATGCTGGCATGTGGGCCGAGTGCTGTAGGAGGGGATCTTTGGAAAACAGGCACAGCTGATTGCCAGGTGGGAGAATTTCTGTTTAACGGTTAGATCAGATTAGAAAAGATTAGCCCTTTGCTGCAAAAAAAAATAGGGAAACTGAACTCTGAAGCAGTAAATGTAACTAGGAGTGTCTTTAGGGAAGAGAAACCAAATGCTTCTGTTTTTCATGCTCTTTCAAGAGGAAAGGATGCTTTATTTTTCTGATGAGTATTTAACAAGTGTACTTACGCTTGGTACCGTGTTTTATTCCAAGACTTTGCAAGCCAGCAGTGGCAATTAACTTCTCAAATGCTGTTCTTTCTAAGTCTTGATTTGCTGTCACAGAAACAGACTACCCCTTATCATCCCTCTCCTCTTGATTTCTGGGTGATAATCTCTGTTAAAGCTACAAGGTAACTTTTAGACAAATCCAATTTTTAGTTTCATCACTGTACTATAGAATAATTATGAAATAGCGACTGTTGCACTTCTTGTGTTACAGAATGCACAAGAACCTCTTCCAGTGAACAGGACACTCCCTCTAGGACCGAGTGTCTTTGGCACTGTCATCTTTGTAATGTTCTTAATTAGCTGGTAAGATCCCCTGAAGCCTGCGGGAGGCTTCACACCTCTGAGAGTACCAAGGTTTTTTGGAAGCAGTTCTCACTTATGTGAACTCTGTGCTGCCCCAACGGTTCTGCTGGTACAGCTGCTTCTAAAGTCATTCAGGGAACCAGCAAAAAAAGGATATTTTTAACCCAGATCAGTTTCCTCATCCTGTTCATTCTGAGGCTGGGTAGCCAGCGGAAGAAAGGGTGTTGCTTCATCAAAGTTCGCTAACAGCACTCTGAAATCTGGGCAGGTGCAGGAGGAATTTGGTGTGTGGTTTTGACCTTTATGTCCCTTGGTGCTGCTCGCAAGGAGTCACAGAAAGTGGCAGTGTGTCTGTTGGCCAGGAGTGCCTTCTCTGTGCTGGGAAATGTCTGATGGCCCCCCCAGAAGGAGTGGGAAGATGCTGCGGGCAATGGAAATGGAAGTGGGGGGATGCTCTCAGGTCTTTATTCCCTGTCTTAGAGACACTGTGGTTGTGCTTGATGAAAATGTCCAGATCTCGGACACAGGCCACGTCTTTGCTTTCACCTGACGTTCCTGTTATGTGTCTGCACTCCACATACGATCACAGTTGCACATAATTGAACAATGTGAGAGGAATGCTTTGGTTCCAATGCTGTTTTGGCTACCTAAAGAGAAGTATCCCTGCTTCAGGCCTGTCTAAAATATACAGTTGCCAAAACGATTGCTTGCTCTTACAGGAAATATTTTCCTTGTATTTAAAAAGATTCAGGTTTGGGGTCTGATTTTTGGGGGGGGTGGGCAGGGAATTACTATGGAGGTAAGGTTGCCCAGCAGTATCTTCTGAAAAACAAACTCTTGAAGGAAAAAAAAAAAAAACCACAACACAAAACACCTGAAAGTAAAAAAAAAAAAAAAGATATACATCATTCCTTCCACCTCATTCTCTGCCTTGTGCTTGTGCCAAGCAGCCTTAATGATGATCTTCCACACTGCGGTTGAAGAGTGCTCTGTTTTCTGAACCTTTTTCAGTAGATTTTACTCCTACATGTGCTACATTTAATCACTTGTCCCTGTAAGAGCGTTGCACCTGTTCTTCAGAGCAGCCTTTCCCTTTACTACGGGAGTCTCGGTACAACTGTGTTTACTTGCCATGTTTCGTTCTAGCTCTTGTTTATCTCTAGCTTTGCTGATGATGGGTCTTGAGACCATCCGAGAGCCCCATTTGTAGCACAGCTGTGATGGATCTCAGAGTGGGTCTCTCCGCTGCGCGTGCCAACTTCCCAAGGAGCAGGAGTGGGAGCGGGACTCATCCTTCCGTGACCCCAGCGGTGTGCTGGGCTTCCCGCTCACCCCAGGTCCCTGCTGAGCTGCTCGGACTCATTCCCCAGTGCTGCGATGTCTCTCTGGGGAAGCACAGTATGCCGAGAGGTGAAACCTGTTGTCTTGTCTCACCTCCTGGAGAGATGCTTCTCTTGTAGTTTCGGATCTTCCAGGCATTTGATTTTTGCTGAATTCCAGCTTCTGGACATAGCAGGGCCACAGAGCTATTCTGGTAACACCATATTAAAGTTTTTCTTTCTGCCTGTATTTGCTTTTGCAAAGGAAACATAAAGACAGCTGGAGCAGAGTGGAGGATGCATCTCTCTTAAAACCAACCCCACAACCAAATTTATACATCAGAATCTTTCAAAGTTTCAAAATAGTTTGGTATTGGGAATTTTACAGGAAGGCATCTCTTCTCTGTTCCTGCAGTGTGTGTTATTCACGTGCTCTCTGAGGAGGGAAGCAGATGAGCAGGGTTTGGTTGTGCTGATGGGGTACGTGCTTCTCTTGCCCGCACACAATCTGATGTACTGCTGTGGAAAGTATATTGTGTTAGCATCATCCTGTCTTTGCACTTAGCACCTACACATCCACAATGCGTAAAGAAGATTAGCTTCGGTTCTTGTTCTTTAAATTCTGGTATGTGTCAAAACTCTTTGGAGCTGGACAGCCAAAATGTGTATATAGGGAAACCTGAAAAACCTTGAGCCTCCACTATGGATTCTGAGAACTTAAATCTTTTTTTTTTTTTAAAAAAAAAAGTAGGATTTTAAGATCTTGTTTGCTGTTTCCTTGCTTCTACTGGCACCACCTTGTGTAATGTTTTCCATAAACAGATCAATTCTGATGTTAATAATAGATTAATTTTTTTAATCCTTCCCAGAATGGCAGCTGCAGGTAGTCTGCTCCACACTCTCACTGATTCTGAAGCTTAGCAACTTTTAACTTCCAGCATAAAGGTATTAATTTGTTCTTATGCCAGCATTGTCCTTCACCTTTGAGTCCTTCTCCCCTGCTGTTGTAAGTTCTCTCCTTCACCCTAATGCATAGGTTGTTGTGTCCTCACTTCATCTGCTCTGCCAGTCAGTCCACGCTGGTTTCTCTTGCAGCATAGACTGTCCCCGGGCTATCCTAATCATCTTGCTGTGCCTTTTGTGCGTAGGTCACTAGAATCAGATGCCTTATCTCAGCTCAGTAATGCTGGTACTTCTCCTTTCCATTTGAGAGTTTCCTGTGACCTTATTTGTCCCTTTGTTTCAGACTTACCGTGTTGGTAATGTGTGAGCATCCAGAGATCAGCCAGTTCATCTAGGCTCCTCTGCTGAGTTCCACTATGGGAGAGGGCTAACTGGGAATTCTTGCTAACCATCTCAGGTGCATGGCCATGCAGTTTTGTGTGTCCAGACTTCATCTGGTTTTGTTATGTCAGTCTAGCTGCTTCTCCGATTCCTTGTGGAAGCTCAAGTCCTACCTGCATTGATGGTTCCTCCTGAAGGTCTGTGTAGTTCCGAAGTCAGTTGGATTCCTATAAAATATAAACTGGTACTTGGACAAATTGCAGCAATTTTAACTTGCTTCCAAAATGTGTCCAACTTGGAACACATTTCTGTTTTAACTTTAACCAGAAAACCAAACAAAATTTAGTTATGCAGATGCAGCTGATATTAATTACCCCCTTCAACCCACTAGCTGATTTACAGACAGTTGTCTAATTAGCCAGCAACACAAATGCTCGAGTGACCAGAACTGAGCTTCATTGGATGTTCAAGCTTTTATTCTCCGTTTTATTTATTTTTCCTTGCAAAATTAACGTTCTGATAGTGGATTCACTGTGATGGTAGTGCTGAGCTGGATGGAAAGGTGGTGGGGAAGAAAGCAGAACATACATTTTTGTGTGGCTTACTCAGTCCTTCATTTGTAATCCACGTTAGTCTGTAGCAGACCATTCTGGTGTTACTTACGTTGCCAGCTCCTGAAGATGCTTTTTGTCATGTTCTGTGCAGCTGGCCTTTCAAAATAAAGAAAAGGAGACAGAAAAGCATCCCTGTGTTGTACAGCAGAAGAAGCAACCCTTAAAGAAATGTCCTCTCACTTGCTAACTTCAGAGCTGGCTTCTAGGTGACAGGGATGAGGATTACAGCCCAGGATGTCTGTAGCAGCTTTGCTGAAAGATGTGTGAGAAGATGCTCTGTGTACTGAACCAAATCTCTGTCCTCTAGGTTTGAGAGCACTGTGCAGGTTGGCAAACTGCAGGACCTTATCAACCGAAGTAAGATGGCGAGGTGTAGAGGACGATTTGTTTGCCCGGTCATCCTGTACAAGGGAAAGGTAAAGCTTTATGGGTTACCTGTCTTAGAAAATGACCTTTCTCCCCGCCATTTAAACTGCGCAGCCGCATCTTCAGTTGGTTGTCGCCTTTCTGAACGCTGTAAAAATCTGTTCTTGGCTGTGAACAGGCAGCCTGTAGTAGTAGATAGCACTTGCTGTCTAGGCTGCAGAAATCATCTCTGGGGACTTCAGGCTATTTTACCCCACCACGTCATGAGTGTTGCACCAAAGAGCTAACATTTTCTGCATATGTATATCCCTTCTGAAGGACAAAAGGTACTTGTCTTTGACAAGGGAAAGATAACTACTGTCACTTTCTTCCCCTTACTCTTCCCAGCAGTGAGCTCCCTTTGAGTAACTTTTCTCTCTAAAGAGAAGTTTCCCTTGTCTGTTCCCTGGGGAGGCAAGATTGCACAAATGGTCTTATGAATGTGTGGGCTTGTCTGCAAGGGGATCTGTAAGAAAATGGAATTAGATTCATTTTTATGTGGATTACTTAAACTGTATTGAAGCCCTGTAGGAGTAGTCTCATTTAGAACTTAAGTAGCTTAATTCAGTTTTCTTAGTTCAATTTAGAAACACTGTGTGAATAGTAAAATCACACCTGTGACAATTTTAGCTTGACTGAAGCCATTGTGGGCTGAACCTCCTGACCTTTTTCTGCAGGAATGAACTGCCTGGAGTCCTACTGGGACCATCCTTAATCTTATCCACAGGAATGTGGAAATGAGGCTCAAGCAGGGTATTAACAGAGCATGGACATTGCTAACTTGGCAGGAATAGACTGTATGAGTGAATTGGAGAGCTGTGTTGAAAATGGGGTTTAAAAACCAGCTACAGATAAAGGCACTTGGGAATTTGATGTGTTTGGAGAACTCGATCTGGACCAGGGTTGAAGGGGAGAGTGCTGAGAGGCGGTAGCTGTAGGTACCAACCATTTCTATGAGATGTCACAGCAAATAAGCCAGAGATGTGATAAAGGAAAGACTCCTGGAGCATGTGAGGTTAATAACTAAATCTTCCTCCAGCATATTTGCAGATCAGCAACGCTGGCCGGCTGGGGAGAGCTCTATGGGCGCACTGGCTACAACTATATCTTCTCAGGTGAGTGAGGAGCCATTTGTTGCTCTCTGCCTGGTCAGTGCTGGGACAGTGACTTACGCCCGAGAGCAAACTCTTCCTGAGAGCTGATGCAGAGCTCTAGCATGGACCTGCTTGTATCAGACCCTGTATAATAGATCAAGGACTGAAACTCATCACCATTTCCAAGCACCATGCTACAGGACAGAGCGCCATAGCTCATAAGAAGCAGTAACAAAAGAACCTGAGGCTGAAGAGTGAGTTATGGGAAGCATGTAGGCAAGTAAAGCAGCCCAAAGGATTCAGGCTACTGATTCCCAGACATCAGGGGTGGGAATAACGAAAGAAAGAGGATAAGAACTTGCTGTTGCTTGGCTAATTGCTGGGAATCAAATCCTGCCAGTGGCGAGATGTAGCGGACTCTAGGGTGAGCTCTTCAGGGGAGTACTGGGTGTCTGTAGTGTGGGAGCTAAAGCTTGGCTTGACAAAACACTGTCTAGCACTACTGGGGTGTCCTTCTGGCTGCCAATAATGGGTTTAAGCTGCCGAGGTCCCTTTGCCATGACAAGGGGGCTATGTTAGAAAAGGGGCGCTTTTGGGAAAGAGGAAATATGAGGAACTATCGACAGCACTTTATGTGCAGAGAGAGGGCACCAAACCATGACCTTTTTAGGCATGTGCATGTCTTGTCAGATTAGGAATTTAGTTGATTTACACAAGCTTCAGTTCTTAATGCCTTTCTTGCAGGAGGTTCTGATGATGCTTGGGCAGACGCAGAAGATATTTCAGAGGAAGATTCTGCACTTAGGTTTGTATGCATAACAATGGGGAAGAGGGAGTTCAGACCAAAACTGACTGTCTCAGCCACTCCGTTCTGCTCTTTCCTAGGCTGGGCTTTGGGTACAGGGTTGAAACCATCACCAAGCTTGGAGTCTTACTTTCCTTGCTTTTGAAAAAGAGTCTTGAATGCAGATGGCTGACGGAACCCAGTGTAACTGAAGCCTGCTAATCTCTTGCTGAAGGGAAGGGCTGGAGTCAGGAATATATAGAGCCATTTTAAAAGGTGTTTGAATTACACAGACATGTTTACTTCATCAAAAAGTACATCTCCGGGCTGGAGAAATTGTTCTGTATCTTACATGCGTGTTGCAGAACAGACTGAGACGTGAGGAGGGACCCTAAGCACAAAGTCTGCAGTATCTCTTCGTTGCAGAGTTTGACTGTCACCTGTGGAGACAAGGCTTGTGCTATGCGGCTTATGGCTAGAAACGATTCAGGGAAGAACTGTGGCAGTATTGTGCAAAGAATCAGACTCAGTGTGGTCAGTCTTCCATGCTAATTTTGCTTTGCCTTGTTCTGTCTTGCAGAAATGCAGACTCACAGCTGTTTGACAAGGTCAGAGGGCACGACATCAAGCTGCTTCGATACCTGTCTGTCCGATATATCTGTGACCTGATGGTGGAAAACAAGAAGGTGAAGTTTGGCTTGAAGTGAGTCTGGGTTCATTTGTTTTTCTGCAGGATTTGGGTTACAGCTAGTGTGGCCCTTACACATGAATTGCTGTTGGGCGTGCACTCGGCATCCTGGGAGCAGTCCCTGGAAGAGCACTACAGCAGGATCAGTTAGTTGATGCTGCAAAAAGAACCCCAAGGTTTTAGGCCAGAGAAAGATATATCAGTGGGCAAGATAGCTGCTTTCATCTGTCTTCTGCAGTCTGAGCAGGTTTTTCTCTGTAGAGCTTGCAGTGAGATGACAGTCATGCCTTCAGAAAGGGGAGAGTAAAGGAGCCCTCTGCTTGTGTGTAGTAACAGAGGGCGTCATTTCTCCTGGTATTTCTTTCAGAGGAAAGCTTTAGTGGTTTTGGGCTGTACCTGTTCATTTGGATGTGTTGAGTAAGTTCTGCCCCTGCTCACTAATGAGTCAAGTCATTGTGTAGGGAGACGTGACAGGTAGCCTTTAGGGTGTTAGTCTCTCCATGAAAAATACTCTACAAATGTCTCCTGTTCTCCTCTTGTCCTGTGCAGTGTGACATCGTCTGAGAAGGTGGACAAAGCTCAACGTTATGCTGATTTCACGCTTCTCTCCATCCCATATCCAGGTACAGGACTGATGTCCAGAGGGACTCCCAAGGGACAGGTGACAATCCGTTACTGGGGACTGGGAACTACCTCTGTGTGTGTGTGTGTGTGTGTGTGTGTGTGTGTTGAAATGACTGTGACTTGCTGAATGTTTTCCATGCTCCCTCTGGAGAGAAGCTCTTTTAAACTGAGAACAGTGCAACAAATCTGGATGCTCTGGGAGTGTGAGTCAGCATTAGGAACTCTTTGAGGTGGCAAAATAATTTCTCAGCAGTTCTAATTAATTCAAGCATGGAGAAATAGTCCCAGAGGTGGAGCTGGGGTTAAGGTGGCCTTTGACACCCTTGCAACTCCAAACTGCTACTTGATGCAAAACATACCTTGCTCTGTGTTATGTAAAACTCCAATTCTTAAGAGTATTTTCTAGTCATAGTGTTCCAGAGCACCACTCAAAGATATCCCCAGGGCTAGGCAGTACTGTTAACCTGAGCCTGCAATGTACGACAGAGATGCAGATCGCTCCAGCCCGTCTCCCTGGCTATATTAGTCCCTGTGCCTAGCAACCACTGCTGGGTCACTTGCTGCACTCTTAAAGATGAGCTGAATATTGCAGCCTGCTGATGTCGGGCGCGGTGATAGGATTGGATGTTAGACTGCTGTGCTTGAGCTCTGTCTGCAGGAAAGGGCTCTCCTTTCTCTGTTGTGCACAAAGAAAGGGAGAAACAAAACCCCAAAACCAAAAAACAAAAACCAACAAAACTTGTGGGTGATCCAAACCCAAACTTTACCTTGATTACTAGTTGTTGCCCGTAAACGTTTTATTTTTTTGAAAAAAAAAAAAAAAAGAAAAAGTGTACTTCCTTACATACAGAAAGTAGTGGCAATTCAGAGAAGCTGCATGAAGATTTCTGTCAAGTCTATCTGCCATGCAGATTGCTGAGGTGTACAAAAATAAGAGTATTACTGGTTTCTGTAGCCCACAGCACAGGTATATATTGCTGCTTTATGCCTCACCAAACTTAAAACATGAGAGAGACAGTGTATATACATCTCTTGTAAGGTTTGTGAAGAATGAGGAAGAAGTGACGGTGTAGAGTTAAGCTGTCAAGATGTTGTACGGGGAACTGCATAGTGTATGCAGTATTTGGTAGTGGTCCTTCCTCTTCTGCCATCTGGGACAGCTGCTTTCCTTTAGCAGCTCTCCACTGCCAGGCTAGAGGTAAACCTTATAAAACTGGGAATTCTGCCTGATTTGAGCAGTGCTGGTCCATAGTGGAATTGTTGGCATTCTGTTAAGGCATACACATCTAAGGATGAGCAACCCCTCTAGTGGCTGGCTCAATGCCATGATGCGTTCTTATTAGTGTTTCCAGGTTTGCATTGAAAGAACTTCTATTTTGTAATTTGTATCTAAAGCTATTCTGAGATCCTGTTGTCTTGAGTGAGGCAGTGTCCAGACATAGAATCATACAATGGTTTAGATTGGAAAAAAACTTTAAGATCATAGAGTCCAACCATTAACCTAACACTGCCAAGGCCACCACTTAAACCTGTCCCTAAGTGCTACATCTACAAGTCTTTTAAATACCTCCAGGGATGGTGACTCAGCCACTTCCCTGAGCAGCCTGTTCCAATGCTCGACAACTCCTTCAGTGAAAAAAATTTTTCCTAATGTCCAATCTAAAACCCCCCTGGTGTAACTTGAGGCTGTTTCCTCTTGTCCTGTCTCTTGTTACTTGGGAGAAGAGACCAACACTGGCTACAACCTCCTTTCAGGTGGTTGTAGAGAGCAGTAAGGTCTCCCCCCAGCCTCCTCTTCTTCGGACTAAACACCCCCAGGTCCCTCAGATGCTCCTCATAAGTCTCTGGACCCTTCATCACCTTTCTTGCCCTTCCTTAGACCTCAGTGTCTTTCTTATAGTGAGGGGCTCAAAACTGAACACTGTATTCGAGGTGCAGACTCACCAGTGTCGAGTACGGGGGGGACAATCTCTTCCCTGTTCCTGCTGGCCACGCTGTTTCTGATACAAGCCAGGGTGCCACTGGCCTTTTTGGCCACCTGGGCACACTGCCAACTCGCATTCAGCCAGCTGTCAACCAACACCCCCAGATCCTTTTCTGCCAGGCAGCTTTCCAACCACTCCTCCCCCAGCCTGTAGCATTGCAGGGGGTTGTTGTGACCCAAAGCCTTGTTGAGCCATACAGTGGCCTCAGGCCATCAATCCAGCCTGTCCAGATCCACCCCCCTGTAGAGAATTTCCTACCCTTAGGCAGATCAACACTCCCGCTTAACTTGGTGTCATCTGTGAACTTACTGAGGGGGCACTCGATCCCCTTGTCCAGATAGTTGATAAAGATATTAAACAGAACTGGCCCCAGTACTGAGCCCTGGGGAACAACACCGCTGGATTTAACTCCATTCACCCACTCTTCGGGCTCGGCCATCCAACCAGATTTTTTACCCAGCAAAGTGTAATGACTGTCTAGGGTGAAAGACTTGGATTAAAATAGGGTATCTGTAGAAGATTTTGTGCTCTCCAGTGCAGAAAACCCCTCTTTTTCATTTGACTGGTAGTTGGCATTTATAGATGTCAGTACTTACTGCTGTAATCCCCCATTCTTTGCTTTAAGCTGTTGTTTAATTGGAGTTAAATCTCAACTGACAGATTGCTTCCTGGCTGTGTGTTTTTGACAGTTAGTCCTGTCCTTGCATAAAGATGATTTTTTTTCTTATTTTTTTTCTTTTTTTTGCCATTGGAGTTACTCGTGACTTGCGGGTGTTCGGTGCCTGGCACAGGGGTGTCATGGTAATGTGGGCCCTGTGGCACTGCTGGGCCTTACCCAGTATGTTGGGAGAGGTGTTTCGTGTAGCCTGCAGGCAGCCGCAGTGCTAATGGTACTGCTCAGCTGTGACTAAGTGACTTGCAGTTTGCAGCAGAGACTTCAAATAGTTGTTTGAGAAGAGCCAAAGGACACGCTTCAGGAGGGGAGAGCTTGTAGGAAACCTTGGAAATGGTTATGTACCTGCTTCCTTCAGATAGGGCAATCCACGTGTTTGAAAGAGACTTAAATGTGAGAGCAATCTGACAGAGCCCTTTCTTGTTACCTGCAGCAGATACCCCGTGAAAGCTGGCTTTCCCCAGGGCTCTGCCAACACCTCCTTTTGCTGGTTCCTTCAGCGTGTCAGTCTGATGCCTTAGATCTGTCCAAAAGCCAGTGGCCCTGGGAAGCATAGCTCCTTGGTGAAACCTCTTGTTTGGGAAAGAATGAAATCAGTCCCTTCACACTCCACATTCGCTGTGTGTTTGGAGCTTGCCCTTTGTTGTGTGAGTGTGTTCACTGCTGAGTGCTCTGGGTTGCTGCTGCTGGGAGGCCGTGCTGCACGCTATTGATGATTACTGCTCTTCTCTTCCCGCAGGCAGCAGTCTTGATTGGTTTGGTGCTGTGGAGCCCGGGGCTGCCAGCACTTCCAATCCCACAGGGCACTTCAGTTGTTAGATAGCAGTTAGCCGAATGGTTGTTCATTATCTCTTTTTCTTGCAGGCTGTGAATTTTTTAAGGAGTACAAAGACCGGGATTATACAGCTGAAGGTCTCATATTTAACTGGAAACAGGTACATGAACGAGATACATATAAAATGGAGAGCGGTGGGCTTTACTGGGCTTAAGTCTTGCCTCAGAGTTTCTGCGATGGCGTATATGTGATGTGCTTATTTCTGATCACAAGGAGGAAATGAACAGGACAAACAAATGAGATAGTGAATGTACTAAATTATTCATTGTAAAATTCATATGTAAAATAAATGAATTGTTATCCTGAAATCCAGGATGCTTGACCTCTCATTGCAGGTGTGGGTTGCTCCTGGTTTTGAATTTGATATTTTATTGATATCCTCTGTTCTGTCCTCATATTCTGCCTCCTGCTGAAGGAAATGGTTGAGTGGAGCACCCCTACAGGAATTCAGAAATGCCTTGTCCCTTACTTTCACTGTTGGGAGCACAGAAAAGCTCTCTTGTCCACTAGTCCTCTTGAGAGGCTATGAGTTAATTCTTACTACTTCAGGTTTTTACATCCAAAAATGTTTTGCTGAGATATTTTCTTCTAGATTTGCCATTTGGCATTTGTTGGTTTGTTTTTTCTGGAACTTGCTGCCTTCACATCGTGGCTTTTCTCTGACCAATTATGTTTGGGGTTTTTTGCAGGATTATGTAGATGCTCCATTAAGTATCCCAGTCTCTCTGACCCAATCTCTGAATATTGATTGGAGCGAGTACCAGGTGAGCAAAGCAGCTATCTCTGGGGGAGGTCAGAGATTCCTTCAGAAAAGATCAGTAGAGATTTGAAGTCTGACTTGCTCCTGTTGCCGTAATCTGGCTCACTTCATACCATCCCAGTGGGAGCGAAGCTGCTTACTTTGACTGTTCAAAACGTCAGTGGAAATCCTCTACCCAAAAGCCCCATGGCTTGGTGTGTCCCGAGGCAGCTGACTGTAACGTCAACTCTTTTTCTGTAGTTTGTGTAAAACTTGCAGTCCATTAGGGAGATGTTGCTAACAAAGGTAAGGAGCGTGCCAGGAAACAGAAAGCAGTATTACTTGTTTGCAATCTTAGCTCAGCACGTGCCTGCAGCAGACAGACTTCCTTGGCTGTGGAGAGTTTTGAGCGTTACACGAGCAGTAGCCAAGGGACTAGGTGTCTTCCTCAGGGGTGTGCAGGGTGCCTGTTCTATGGGAGAAGAGTACAAGATCATAACTGACCATAGCATGTCTCCATTCCTTATTACTGTGACAGCATCACAAATGATAATTGAACTCTTCTGCTTGCCCAGGCTTCAAGGTTTACCTTTGTTTGTACCAGGGAGCATCACGTAATACTGCTGATTCGTGTGCTCCATTTCACACATCAGTGGGCCTACCAATCCCCCCAGGTTTTGTGATGATTGACTGTGCTGGAGCATGTCACGCTCCTGTGCTCTGTGGCTGGAAGCAGCAGAGAATGAGCAGAGCTCCCTGTGCTGGGCCAGCGTTTGTCAGTCAGTGATGTAAATAATGTTTAAGCGCCAGCATAAGCAGAATCACAGCAGTGTTGAAGCAGAACTAATGGGACCACAGCTTGTTTATGGCTAGAAATTTGTTCACTAGAATACTGAGCAGCCCGTATTTTAAAAAGGATATTAAAAATTGAAGAGGGTGTAATAAATAGATGCACAACTGATCTGAGACTGGAGAAGGTGCTTCACTTAAAGCTGAAGTTCTCAGTCTGTTTAGCTAATCACAAAGTGATGAAGGGTTGTCTTGATTAATGTGTAAGTACATTCACAGGGAGAAAATACTAATTCTAAAGCACTCTTCAATCTGGGCAAGAAAAGCTGCACAGGAAGCAATATCTGCAGTCTGAAATCAGACCTTCAAATATGGAAAAACAGTCTTGCGTGTTATTTTTGAGGATGATCTGTTGGAACACGCTGCCAAAGGAGTGATGAGCTGTCACCCCTAGTTGAGGTGCTTCTCTGGGCAGAGATGTTGCCAAGTACAAGCTTCAGGCTGTATTTGGGGCAATTGAACAAAACTTTCTGGTTTGTGGTATAGAGAGATCAGACTGGATGATTAGATGATTCCTTCTGGCATAAGCACAAGATTGGGTTGAATTGGGCAGATAAAAGACTTCGGAAGTATGTGTTTTTCTGCCCCAGGCTGAGTGTGTTCCCCATTTCCTTACTCTTTTGTTGCTGTGCCCGCTTCACTGGCAGAGGAATATGGTCTTTGTCTGACAGTAGTCTGAAGTGTGGTTACACGTTCCTGTGCACACATACAAGCACACAGCAAGTGTTCAATTGCAGCCAGATGTCACTTATACCACTAATATTGTCACAGTGAAACGTCTGTCCCTCTCCTTGCCTTTTCCTTGCTGGCGATAACCTGTTTTCCTTGAGTTAGTTCTGGCTTTGATCAGACCACTGAAATTCCCTGTATCTTCTCATGACACAGTGGTCAAGAGTGGCACACTTGAACGTGTTCTGTTTTTCACCTGCACCTCTTGTAGTGCTGGAGGTCTCCGAGTTCAGAGCCTTTCTGTGTTGCTGCTGCTACTTGGGTGCTGCTGCAGAAGTCGGGTGCTTGTCTGGAGCAGCTGGGAGTGGGTCAGCCCTCTGCAGGCAGCCTGCTGGGGCCATCTGCAAGGGCCAGAGAGTTTTGGAGAAGGTGCTTGGGTTGAGGGAACAGGCTGCTGCCCTTGGCCTGCTCACCCCATCATGCTCCTTGCATCACGTACACAGCTGTAACGTGGCTGCTGAGCCATTTGGTTAAGTGCACGCGTGCAGGGGGGCTGCGGAACTGGGTCAGCGCTCAGCAGGTGTTTGCTGCCTCACATCAGTCTCTCAGAGCATGGTCTGCTTGGAGCTTTGGGGCTGCAGGCAAGCCGGTTCTGTGCCAGCCAGGCAAACAGGAGAGATGGCCTTCTTATTTTTAATTTTTTCTTTCCTGCCTGGTCTTTTGTACCAGAGCGCCTTTTGCAGAGGATGGGGGGATTGATTAGCTCACCAAGGGGGAGGTCTGTTGCTCTGAGGAACGGCCACAGGGTTATTTCTGTTATGCTGTTGTTCTGGGTAGAGAAGCCCAGAGCATGGCAGGCTCTGAACTGCAGAGCAGCCTTTTGCTGTGGGCAGACCCTTACTGTCAACATTTCTCTTTTCTGCAGAGCTGGGACCTTGTACAACAGACACAGAACTACCTGAAGCTGCTGATCTCCATCATCAATAGCGATGGTAAGGCAGGCTCCTTGCTCCCAGTGCTCTAATTGGAGCAGTCACTGTCTGGGAGAGCAGCTGGTGGTATTGGTGCCTCTGTGGATCAGTTCACAATACAGAAGAGTCACTTTATAGAGAACTTCACTCTCTCTTCAAAGCCGGGTGATGGTTCTAGCATCTCAGGGCTCCAGTTCCCCTCTCAGAGGTGGACTTGCTGATTCCTTGAAAACCCTCTCCTCCCAGGGATGAAGGGATAGCTGAAAACTTTGCCTAATGTTTTACTACTTTAAAGGTGAAGAAACATTTGTTCCTCTGCTTGTTGACTGTTGCTCTTATTTTGCTGGACACCTGTGTTTTGTTCCCCCAACTCGGGATCTCATTAAGCATCTATTTAAGAGCCCCTTCCATCCTCTGTCATCACAGCCACCTAAATTGTTTGAAGGGTGTATACTGCCCTGTCTTGGCATCCCATTCCCTCTGGGTGTTATGACATTGTACTTAGCACTGTCGGATAGAAGGAGCCGTGTTTGACTCTGCCAGCACGGCCGATGACAGACTCCTGCAGTAGTTGTGTTAGGACACGCTGAATTTTCTGGAGAGTGTGGGAGTTGTGCCCTGTGTATGCCTCTGCTCAACATGTATCACTAATAAGGCTGGTGAGACTGAAAAAAGCATTCAATTGGAGCAGGTTTCTCTTTGTGGGAATAGATTGTGATAGTGGCTTGCAACTGGGTACGTGTATGTTCTGGGTAGCAAAGTGATGTTCATGCCTAGTGACTTCGTGTCCTGAGCAGCTGTCAGGACCAGGTTGGCACATCAGCTGGGGCTGCTGACAACCCAAGACACTCTGAGCAATTTGTCGGCTGCCATATTCCAGACAAAATGTTCTGGCTCGGTGGCTGAGCAATGCTCTTGAGCTTGGGCTGTAGGGATGGAGGGTAGCTTGTCTCCTCAGATTTGCCATAAAGAAAAGTCATTGCTCGTGTTGCAACATCCTTTTTTTTTTTTTTCCTTCCTACCTCTGCCTGGAATAGATGACAGCGGGCTCCTGGTGCACTGTATATCCGGCTGGGATCGAACTCCTCTCTTCATCTCCTTATTGCGCCTCTCCTTATGGGCTGTGAGTACCTGGCTGACCCGCTCTGCTTCTGGGGGTGATTGTTTGGAGGGTGAGTGACTGTCTCACCAGGAAGTGGTGGTGGAGCAGTAAATGTTCCTTTTGACTATCCTGGCTTCAGAGGTGGTGTGGATTGGCTTTGATGTGGAGCCCAACATGCTGTCCTGCCATCAGACGCGGTATCACAGGCAGGTAGAGCAAGCTGGGCGTCTTGGATCACCATGACAGTTATCAGTAGATCACGAATTCCCAAGTCCCAGTCCCCAGGGCTGCTGCCTGAAGGATGTTGTGATTTACTTTGCAGGATGGGCTGATCCACACGTCCCTGGAGCCCTCTGAGATCCTCTACCTGACTGTGGCCTATGACTGGTTTCTCTTTGGGTAGGCACACTAAGTTTTACTCACGTAATACCTCCCTGCGCAGCGAGGGAGAAGCCTTCAGGGCATTTGCTCACAACCAAAGGTGGATGTTGGGGCAGCTCCCAGTGAGCTGTGATCAAGAGGGGCTGATGCCTTTCCTTTTTTTCACCTGGAGGCTCAGGCATCTGGTATTCTGGACAGCTTGTGCTCTTTGCTGATTCTGGCTGCCAGCATGTGACTGAGCCTCCCTTGCTCTCTTTCCAGGCACATGTTAGTCGATCGACTCAGTAAAGGAGAAGAGGTGAGTGTCTGGTCTGGGACAGTGGCTGATCACTGGGTTTTGTTCTCAGGGTAATTGTTTCCCATAGCAGCATTCACTGCCTACTTCTGGTAATATCAGTGGTCTGGCTAGGCTCTAAAAAGATTGTTCAGGTGCTGAAAATACAAAATAGGAGCCTTGCCCCGTTGCTTCCTGATGTGTAAGGTGTGGGAATGCTTTTCCCTCAAGCTAGTTTGGATGGCGGGTGTCAGTCCTGCCAGTTCCCTTGTTGTGCCATTAGTGTTCAGGCCCTGGGTGAAAGGGTGCCAGGACTTGCTCTGTCAGCTCGGCAATGAGAAGGGATGCTTAAGGTGTGTGACTGCTTGGGAGCTTGGAAATAAAGCTGTATAGCCTTGTGTGCTTGTCCTGAGTGCCAGCCCTCCTGCCTGCGTGCTGCAGCTGCATGTGGTTTGCATGTCCTGGTGGGCTCATGGAGCAGGTTCCAGCCTGAGTACGTGGCAGGGCGTGTGTACCTGTGGGTACACAGATGGGTCTAGGAGGCGGTTAGGGTTAGTGGAACTAATTCTCTTCAAATCTTTCACTGTTTAACAGCAAAAAATTATTGCTCTGACTATAGTTGGGCTACACTGCCATATCACTTTTTGGATAGAAATCAAGAGTTGGGGAGTATGTCTAACCCTGTTGGGAGTATGTCTAACCCTGCTGCTAATTTCTTGCTCCTCAGACTGTCACCTCCCCAGGGAATCCCCTGCCTCTGAACAGCAGAGCCAGGACGCTGGCCTATTTTCCCTTTTTCATGGGTCCAGGACCTCTGTATTAGTATCATTCCTCCCATTCATTCCTTTCCCAGATCTCTGCTGGCTCGAGCCTGGCAGCTCTGCTCAGCTGCCTGCTTGGCCGTGGGCAGAGCTGATAGCTGCGACAGGAAAGGGGGTGCACGGCTGTCTCTAACCCTCCCTGCTCCCCACTGCAGGAGGGCTGCGCAGGCAGAAGGGATGGCAGAGCCCCAGTGGGGTGAATGCCATGGAGCAGACTGGGGGACCGCGGATGCTGCAGGTGTGTTCCAGCTGTGGTGCTGAGCTGGAGCGTGAAGCTCAAACCCTGCTAGTTTTGCTGGGTTTGCTGCTTACCTGCCTGTATGAGCAGCTGCTGGGGGCCGTTTCTTTTCCATTCTGCACTGATAGCATAAATACCTGCCATGTGCTTGCAGCATGTGTGCAAGGCATTGATAAGGAGACTTGTCTTACACCTTCCTTCCCGGGCCTCTCCGCGGCAGGGAACAGAGTGTCAGTTTAATGTGTCAGAGGAGGCCCAGGATGGGATGGTGGCAGCCCATGGCACGTTGGAGGCTGGTAGCTGCAGATTTCTTCCTATCTCCTTCCTGCCAGCACCTCCCCACCAAGATAAGAGGCTGCGTGGAGCCTCAGGTTCATTCCTGAACCACTCTTCTCTCTCCCTTTGCTCAGATTTTCTTTTTCTGCTTCAATTTTCTGAAGCACATCACCTCTGAGGAGTTCTCTGCTGTGAAGTCGCAGAGGTAAGGAGCCTGTGCCTGCTGCTGCATGGGCTGCAGAGCCAGGGAGCTTGTCAGTGCTGTTTCTTTGGGGAGATGGAAGCCCTGGTGTCCTGGCCCAGTTTTCTTTAATTTATTCTGCACTCCGAAGGCTGCAAAATGGGGCCGAGGCTTGTGAGGTGGCCATGTTGTGCTCTGAAAAACTGTCCATGCTGAAATGTGCTCTCTGCTTAATGACTGTCCGTGGCTGCTTTAGCACGGATGAAGCCAGAGATGTGTGCTCTGGTGCTTTAGCACGGATGAAGCCAGAGATGTGTGCTCTGGCTCAAGCAGGCTGCACAGCAAGCTCTGTCAGGCACTGCTGGAGGCTGTGGAGCAGGGCGGCTGGTTTTTAACAGACCCGCTAAACATTAACCCCTTCCTATTTCAGGAGGGGCAGAAAGAAACAAAGCCCACCCTGGAGGCTCTGAATAAACACGTCTGTCTGCAGCCTGTCGCCTCCCTCTCAAAGCACAGGGTGTGTGGGCTGGGACTGTTAGGAGAGTTGGATACTGCACATCGGCCCCATCCCCTCTGCCCCTGCACAGCTAGCTCCCCCCTGCTCTGATCTGCTCTGTGCTGCAGAGACCTGGCTATGGCCAGCCTCCCCGCAGCCCTGAAGTGTCGCTGAGGTAACTTTTGTCTTTCCTTCCCCAGAAGGAAGAGTTTGCCACCTGGCTTCACCCTGGAAGAGATCTGCATGCTCAGTGAGTGCTGCTGCCGAGCATCAGCACCCCTGGGTGCTGGTAATGGTTGATCACTTGGGGGCTTGGGTTCCCGGCATCAAGGTGACTACAAATGGGTATGCTTCCCTTGGGGCCTCACAAGAACGCGGCCCCAGGGCACGTGGGAAGTGTATTGTTTAAAGGGAGAGAAAGCACGGAGACCAAGCTGGTCTTCAGGTAGCTCTGTTTTCTTTTCTCTAGAGCAGAGAGACCGAGGCAGCACCACAAGTCTGAGCAGCGACTTCTCCCTGGGGATGGAGAGTTCCCCTGGAGCAGCTGGGAGCTTCACGTATGAAGCAGTGGAGCTGATGCCGGCAGGAGCACAGGCTCAAGCAGCATGGTGAGGACATAACCACTCATTGGGCTGCAGAACAAAAGGGGCAGGCTCTGAGCATGGTAGAAAGGATATTTCTCAAGTCCCTCACCCTCCAGGTCTGCTCTCTGTGGCATGGGTTCCTTCTGCACCAAAAATTGGAGACCACCCCACTGTCAGGCTCTGTGGGGATACTCCTGAAGTTTGTCCCCTGATAAGACTAAAGCAGCTTTGTTTCATCTTCATCAGTTTCACTGTTAAACTACATCCAGGAAGGATTTTAATACTTTTAAAAGATGAATCCAAACTACCAGAAAAAATGACACTTGGCAGCAGCCTCCCCAGGGAACAGTGGAGACAGTTTAGCTGCCCTAAAGTGAAGCTTAATCAGTTTATGGAAGAAATTATACAGGGAAGTGTCTGCAGGTAGTGGTAGGTGGGCTGAGTGGCCAAGAAGCCCCTGTAAACTTTAGCCCCTCTAACAGCACGAGGTGTGTGAGCTGGTAGCAGGTTACTGCCTGCAGTGCTACTTCGAGATACTTTTGGGGTAGAATGTGAAATTCTCGGGGCTCCCTATGGCTAGAGGGTCACACGGGGGGGGTGCAGGGGACTGGGCAAGTGTCTGGTGACCGCTGCTCTGCGGCTGGCGTTGTGCTTGCTTGTGGAGTTTCTGGTGCTGTTTGGGGATTTCAGAACCTTGCTGTAAGGTTGCCCCTCACAGTTTAATTTTTCTCTCTTCTCCCTCAGCACATGTGAAGATGCTATTTTATATTGCAATTATTTTAAATTAAATCTAGGTTGTGCTGGAGGCAGTTGGAAGTCCTCTGGGACTGAGCCTTTAGCCACGCTAGTGGCAGCAGCCCTTCTAAAGCACACTGTGATTCAATTTATAAAATGCTGAAGAAGGGAAGAGAGAATCCTCCTGCAGAATCACAAAGTGGAGATGAGAAGTCCCAAACTGCACTTGCCAAGTGAGCAGTGCAGCATCCTCTCACACACAGAGCCTACCTATCCACAGCAAAGTGGCTGCAGCAAGTAGGGAACAACTTTCCACTTGTCTGGCTGCAAAGTAATAAACTGGAAGCATTTACATTGCTCTGAGTGCTCAGGACATGCAGGCTGGATCCTGCAGCACAAAACCTACACGTGATTTTTCTCAAGGTGTGAAGTGGCCAGAGCATGCTGGAAGAGGTTTGTTGTGCTTTTGTGTGTCAGGGCTTGATTTTTGTGACCTGTTTTCTAGCTCTGGTTTGCTTTCCTTCCTGTTGGAGATGTCAGACTGTGCTGGGGCTAGCTGCTGCTACCACAGGCGTGGTTTGGGCCCATGCTCTGGGCATGAGCTTGGGGAAGGGAAGGTTGTGAGCCTTGCCATGAGTGAGCTTAGCGAGGGGACTGGTCACGGATGCCTTGCTGCAAGCTGTTGTGGCTGTGTAGGCTGGAGAACAGGTAGGGCTTGCTACAAGCTGGGTGAGCTGGGCTGTGCATAGCATGAGTGGGGAGAGGAGAGGATGTGCTTCATTGTGTTGTCCTGAAAAAGGGTGGCCTTGAGGTCTCCTTGCAGCAAGAGGCATTTGGGTTTTAGCTGTACAAGCCTGTTTCTGCAGGCTATGCTTGGAGATATTGTCAGCTATGATAACATGAGATGAATAATGCTTGAGAGAGGCTGTGGTGTGATGTTTGAGGGTGGACACACTTCAAGAAATGGAGAGGATATCATGCTTTCCACTGTACAGTGAACCTGTCTTTAGCTGCACTTGCTGACAGTGCTTGAGATCTCAGTCAAAGCTGAGATGCCTCTCCAGATTTCAGGAAGAACAGTGTCTTTTCTTCTTGAGTTTGTTTACTTTTCCTTTTTACCTGTGTACATAGGGAGGTCTTTGTCCAATTCACTGTGGTTTTGTAAGGGGAAAAAAAGTCTTGGGACTCTTATAGGGAAAAAAAAAACCAAAACACCTGACATAAAGAAAGTCTTCTGAAGGCAGAGCAGCAGCGATGTGAATTAGTGCCAAATATGTGTGGCTTGTTTAGCATGTAGCTGGATAGTACTGTGAGCTAAGCTGTTATGCAGCAAAGGGCCGTGAACTGTGCCCATGTCTGAATGTGCTGGCTACAAAGGAAGCCAGAGCAGTTCCAGGCTGTCAGCGCAGGCAGGGAGAGGTCTGAAATGCACCTACATCTGGAGCAATTGTCAGCTCTGAGCACGTGGTCAGAAGTGTGGTCAGTGGTGCCTGAAGAGAATCACTAAAATAGAAAATAACACTCATGTCGTGTCCCTGTCACCCTCATCAGTGCGCACGAACGCCCACCTGGGCTGAGCTCCTTGGCTGATACACTCTGTAGACTTAGAGCAGATTGAAATGGTCTTTCCCTGCTGGGAGGCCCCTTGCTTGAGGCATTTTTTACAGCTAGACTAAACAAAGCCATGGCTGTATGTGTGTGGGCTGATGCATTCTCCTGTCTCCGATTTCCAGGTCACGTGGATGGTGATCTATAAAGGAATGGGCTAAGATGGGTTGAGCTCAGTGTACCCCCGTCGTCACTGAGCAGTTACCCGTGACTCATGGCTCCTTGGGAGGGAGGAGAGGAGGTTCAGTGAGAGCAAGAGCTTGTAGCTGCTGGGATAAAATCCAGCCTATTGTGGAAAGGCTTCCTAGCTGGAGCGTGTGGGAAAGGCAACTTTCTCACCCAAGTTCTCTGTCCCACAGGAGGAAGAGCTGTGCGTCGTCCCCACAAGCCGTGCTCTGGAGCAGGGCGCAGCAGTCTGAAGACAGGCTGCCTTCTGCAGGGATAGTCGAGGTCAAGTCCTCCAGCTCCTCCTCCTCGACCCATTCTGATAACTTCCTGAGGATTGGAAGCAGCCCGCTGGAAGTGCCCAGATCCAGGTGAGATGGGACAGAGTAGAGCGTTTCTCAGCAAAATGAGGATCTGGTAAAGGGAGCACAGGGCTGCGTTGGTGTGGCTCTGAGAACCCTGGAGCACGTGTTTTGTATCTGCAAACCAACCTCAGGAGGCCTGTTCCTCTCTAGCCTGGCCTCGTGTGAAACGCTGGCCACTAAACACAGGAACTCCTGCCTCGGCCCGTTTAGAAGAGTGAGGAGCTGTGCCAATAACAGCTGAGTGTCTGTTCTGCCTGTCCTCATCGCATGCCTCAACTCCATGAGCTCTGGCATCTCTGCATCCTGCATGCTTGGAGCTCACAGCACTTTCTCTGTCCAATGCATCCATGGAGGTTTGAAACGGCTGTGCTGTGTGTGGGGGAGGAAGCCTTTCAAACCAAGCAGACCTCACTCTGCATCTATCCTGTCTCCCTTTCCACCTGCTGACCTTCCTGACACTGCAGGGTGGAAAAAAAAACAACTCTGAGTGCTGGTGGCAAGCAGAGATAGGATCTGCTGGGAGCAAGCTGCGAGCGTTGTGCTGGCACAAAGGATTTCACCTGGAAGGCTGTGTGTTCCCACTGGGCAACCAGGGAATGGGGACCCTGGACCTGAGCCTAATCTCATGCCATCACAAAGGATATTCTGGCACCCTTCTGGAGTCTGATTCTGTGGTAGGGCAAAATCGAGCAGTGAGCTAGGCTAGGGAAGAAAGAACAGAGCCTGTGGAGCAAACGCCATGTGTTTAGGCCGACAGGGGATAAAGAGGCTCTCAGATAAGAGGTTGCTGTTAACAGCATCAAACGCTTCTGTGGTCTCTGCAGGTTTTCTGATGAGTCTTTCTTTTTCTAGTGATTTCCTTCAGAAACAGACACCAGCCAAATTTTAGTACGCTCTTGTCACATGGAAAATAAAATGACAAACAAGTAAAGCACTGAAAATGTATAAGACTGACTTATCAAGTTTCTTGATTCCAGAGAAAAATCACTGTTTAACAGTTTTCATAAATGATGCTAACTGTTCTCCCCAGAGAAAGAGATCAGTAGGATGGGTTTGAGTTGTTGCTGGAGTCCACCTCTGCGTTCTCTGTAAGATGAAACAAATCTCCCAAGAAGAGAAGAAAATACAGGAGAGAAAACAGCTTGTCTGGGGGGCTGCTTTTGTTCACGACAGTAGTGCCACAGTTCCTGGGTGTGGTCTCATGGCATTCTCAAGACCTGACAGGCCTGTCCAGCATGGCCTGGTAGCGAGCTTGCAGCAGTGTTGTGGAAGAAGCAGTTGATAAAGCTTCAGCCCGACTCTGTGAGAGCAAAGAGGAAGAACAGAGTAGGCAGAAGAGCACCACAGGAAGGGGCTGAGCACACAGTCCCTGGGTTTTGCATTCCAGGGGCTCGAAGTTGGTGAAGCCAGCAATTATTTTTCCTCTGGCTGTGTCTGGATGAGGTGTTTATAAGCTTTTGGATGATTAGTGCCCATTGGTGTCGTGCTCAGAACTGGCACCCCCAGGGCTCGAGGCAGCAGGCAGGCATGGTGAGGAAGCTTGTTACTTCCAGCCCAGAGTCCCTGAGCTCTGGGTATTTGGGTATATCTGGGTAAATGGGTATTTATTTGGCTTTTTCCCTATGCCGAATAAATACCCATGAGAAGAAGTTGCAGTATTTTCTCATTGTAAGAGGTAAATGTGGATTCCACTCTAACATTTTTCTGACCTTTGTGGTAGCTTCTACCGTGGCACAAAGCCTTTATAACCCTTCAACACAGCAAAGTTGTACCAGTCCACTCTCATTCCCTGTTAACTTTTGTGAACAAGGCAGTGTGAAGGGCTGGTCTAGGAAAAAGTGCAAGATGGGGAAATAGGCGTTAAAAGGGGAACAAAGCCCTTGCACAGCCTGGAACCACAGGGATGGGAGAAAGGAATCAGCTGTGAAGCTGATCAGCTGCACGCAAGGACGGTTGGCTTGCTACACTCATGTTGGGTGGAGACTGTGCACCTGTGTGCTCTCCATCCCTGGTGTCACCTGGGTTTGCCCTGCTCCTTTCAGTGTGCAGGCTGGAGGAAATAAGCCTAGAGACCCTGCAGGGAGTAGGTGGAATTGTCAAGGCAACGGCTGAACTGAACTTGTCTTTCAACCCAAGTGTTCTGGCACATTCGTGCTCCTTTGCCTCCCAGTCCATTGCCAGATCAGTCAGACCCCACCTGCCTTCCCTGGGGTAACGCTGCAAACAGCTCTGCTAGTTCAGGACTTGAGCAATGCCTTGCCTTGGCAGGTGCTGACGTGGTTTGCACTTTTGGGGGCCTGAACACGGTATGTTTTCTTCAGGGAGAGGGCTTGTGTCACTCCCTTTGACTTTGGTCTCCCTGCTTGGACTATCTTAGTCTGAATTTGTCTGGAGAGCTCCGTGCAGGTAATGGATATCTCAAGTACCTTCAGCCGCCATTTTACACCCTAAAGGAAAGGATGAATCCCAGTTTGGGTGGAGGAGGAGTGTATCTGTGATGGAATGGAAAGAAGAGGTACATTCTGTCCCTTCACCCCCTGAAAAATGGTGGGGACTAGAATGGAAAAGCTGGAGCACAGAGACCAATCAAGATGCCAAAAATACCTTTATCTCTACTGTGCTGCTGCCAGGTTAACACCCAAGGCTCTTAAGACGAAGAAACTACTGTACTTGACTTCCTAATCCTCTGGTTGTGTGGCCATAGCAACAAAACACTTAACCACTGCAGCAGCAGTTGAGGAAAAATGGTTGCTTGTAAAATGCCAGCAGGCACCTTTCAGGTGGTTCAGGTAAACACCTCAGTCCTGGTACTGGCAGGCAGAGGAGCTCCAGAAGGATCAGGAAGGGAAGGGAAGACAGAGAGAGATGAGCAGGGCCTGGGAGGGGAACTGGGGTGTCCTAAAGGAAAGAGTCACAAAAGCGGAGTCAGCTGTCGGGAGCCAAACACCTCTCCAGACCATGTCAGCAGTCTGCTGCTGCCATCACCAAGTCTTCCAAGTCCTGCTCTGATCCAGAGGTTCTGGGCACCCATAAATCCCAGGATGAGTCTTGCTAGGCAGAGCAGTGTGAAATCAAATTCCTAGCAGTCTTTCTAGCTCATCCCAACACAATGGTAAGAGCACATCTGCTTGAGGGCAAGCATGCATGAAAATGCTGCCATAGCTTATTTGCTGAGCAGGACAAGGTGCTTGTTCTGCAGAGCTCTGAGTATGGCAGAGAGTGTGCACTGAATGGAATTCCCTGCGTGCGAGTGGGTAGTGGCTTGCAAACCACATTCTGTGTTTGAGTTTGATGCTAATAGTCTTAAGTGTCTCACGGCACTGCGGAAAAACCCTGTATCTGTGTCAGGGATTTAGCGTGTGTGCACATAACACTAATGTGGCTTAGCAGCTGGATAATCTTTGGTTGAATGTGCTTTTGCTAAGTCAATTAAACAAACGCCAAAGTACTGTGATCTGAAGAGTCAAGATCTGCAGGAGTTAAATCGTGGAGGATCTGCTTTGGGCAACAGCCACGGAGAACTCCCTTACTTCAAGGGCTGCAGACGGTTCAGCTGTGGGTCGGAGGGAGTGCAGAGAGGGACAGAGAAGCTGCCGTCCCTCGGCTTTGGGTGTTTGGTTGGCGATGATAAGGCTGCGTGCGCACTCTCCTGCTCCTTAGAGCCATCTGCCTTGGAAGCTCTTATCTGTGATGTGACAACTCGGGCTAGCGGCCGCAGCAGGACAGGAATTGTTTACGGGAATGTTTTCTGGAATTATTGCACAACTGTGCCACAAAAATGGGCTTGCCAGCTGGCACATGACTGTGCTGCAATCAGAAATGATTGTGCTCGCAGAGGACTGGCTGCTCGGGCTGTTACGGCACTAACACAGCCTGTAGATAGCTGCCTGGGATTCAGCCAGGGCTCTCAGTACAGCTCGCTGCCAAGTACTCCTTGCCAACTTTTCCCACGCAAAGGTGGGAAGGGCTGCCCTGTACTCCAGGTTGCCACAGTCTGCCTGTGCGTACAGTACCTACTTAACACCCTGACTTGAGGCACTGAGCATATGCTGGCAAGTGAGCTGCTTCCCAAATAGTCCTAGGTGTGTGGAAATATGGCAGGTGAGCGGGGGCAGCACGGGGCAGGATGAGAGCCTAGCTGTTGGCACTTGGCACTCATCTCAGTTCTGTATTAAGAAAGGGAAGGATCCCTGACTGTTGCTCTGCCTCCGGTATTGGCTCTTCTCTGGTGGGCAAGTGTCCGTGTGCTCTGAAATACTCTGTCTTGTGCAGCATGTTGCACGGCAAGCGCTGACCTAATTAAAGGGAATGGTTCCAGGCTAGGAGTTGCCAGTTACGGCCTGCTAGAGGTCCTTCCTTGTGTGAAGGAACAGCTTGCAGCTCATCTCTGTTTTGCTAATCTAATTTTGTTAATCTTGCACTTTTGAGGGAGTTTCTTCCCACTCGTGGACCTGAAGAGGTGGGGGTGTGAAGCTCACTTTCATTCTCTCTCTGTCTGCTATTAGATGTCTATGGCAGAGGCAGCGACTTGAAGACTTGCTGTATCTCATCTCCCCTAACCGTGTCAGCTTTGCTGTAGTCGTCCGGCTGCTTCCCGAGCCCCTCCGTGCTGCCCTCACAGCTAGCCAGCCTCAGGCACGGCTGCATAACATGCTGCAAACCTGTTGTTCTTACAGATTTAGGGACTGGGACCAGTGTCCCAGCAGCCCCAACACACTCTCACCAAAGTGCTTTTTGAGCCTCTGCAGCAACACTTTACAAGAAGCCCTCAGGGGTAGAAATAACAGGAAGACTTTTACCTCTAGCACTGACTGGATTTGCACTGGAAGAGAGTCGCTGTAGAGAGCTGGTCTTGGTCTCAAGCCAGGCTCAGCTTTTGAGAAGCTCTGCTGCCCTTGCAGTGCAAACACAAGATTTCCCATGCCATCCCTTCCCCGCCTGACTCACCAGCCTTGGCCCCTGCTGTCTGTCGAGGCTGTACAAGATGCTTGTTGGTTGTGACACTTCCTCAGGAGCCTTCCCTTGAGAAGGCGTTGGGGATAGAGGGGAAAGTCTGCCGTGATAGCTTAGCTCTGCTGGCTAGACTCAGATATCTAAGTCAGAAAAGAGATGACCTGGGCTCATTGCAGAGTCAATCGGTTTATTCGATTAATTGTCAAGTGTTTATTTGGCTGCCTGGAGTGAGACACAGAATTGGTTGCCTTGTGCTCCTGGACTTCTGTACGATTAGCTTAGATGTACCTTCGCTAAGTTTGCACAGCTGCTTGACAGGTTCAGGGCCCTCAGGAAGGGCTAAAGAGCCACTGAGAGTCGGTCTCATGGGAGGTACACGATGCTTTTATCAGCCTGTCCAAGAAAGGATTCAAGAGGTGACTTGATCCGCCTCCAAGAGCTGGTTTAAGATCAGTCTAATCTTAGCTGACAGCTATGGAAGGTGACCAGCAGATGGAAGCTGAGGCCACATACCCAAAGCAGGAAGACATTTTCTGCTCACCTTCTTTAGCACAGGCTCATCTGACTGACCAGTGTGGTTGATAATACTGGGCAGAGGGATGTTTTCACTGTCCCTGGGGCCCTCGTTCATGTTTTATTCCTTTGCTTGCCACATGGGCATAGTGTCCTAGGCAGGCTGCCGATACTACTCTCCCTTTACAAGAACCGTACAGCTCTGCTCGGTTCTCTTCTCCTTCACCTGGAGATCTTGCCATAGCCCAAGCCCTCCTCTGCCATCCATACTTGCCATCTTCAAAACCTGTGTTTCTGCCTGGCCCCAAACCTATTCTCTGTTTGGCAACTCGTTGCTTTTCTGACAGAACCGTGTCCATGTCTACTTTCAGCCCAAGCCCATTGCCTATAGACCTCTTTACTGTTTTAGCTTAAATTCTTGTCACTGCGTGCAACACTCCTGTTTTTCCTGTCTGGCTGTGCTGTACTCTCAGGGAGATGACACCCTCCTCTTCCCTCTGCACCAAAGCAGTGTTCCTCGATGCCTCTCCCTGGCTTCCTGCACTGTGCTCCCAGCATGGCACCGTGCTCTCGGCCCAAAGGCTCTGCCTGCTCTCCATCACACTGACTTCCTCGGCTTTATCTTCCAAAGGCAGGGAGAGAGGTAGATGTCCTCCCTTACCAATTCCTTGCATCCCAGAGAAGGCTATCGCTGTCTGATCTGCAAAAGGTCTTTCTTAAGAGAGTATAAGAGAATGCTGCAGTTCTGCTTTCAGTGAAATGCCCTCATTCTTACTGCAGCGTTATGTGCTCTAGGAAAAATCCCTTTTTGCAAGAAAGGCTTCTGCCAGTACTCTGAACCTCAGCTCGTCAAGCAGCCGAAGAAGAGCTGTGCAAGGCAGGTGAAGTTCTGCTCTTCCTATTTTCTGCCGTGATCCCTTCCAGAGCCTGAACTTCCCGACAGTGGTGTTACCCCCAAACTGCAGTGTCAGCACCATGATGGGAAGCTGACACGCCAGGAGCTGTGTGAATTTTATTTTTTTCCCCTTCTCTGCTTGTGGAACCAGCTCAGGACTGTGTTTCAGACTTCTCAAACTTGGCTGTATCGATCACACTAGTTAAACGGCAGGCTTGAAATTAGATGGAGATTGCGAGTAGGCTTCCTGCTGCATGTCTCCCCCCCCATCCAGGCTCGCTGGGGTACTTGCTGTGGGAGATCCTGTCTTTCTAGCTGTTCTCCTGGTCTCTTGGGGAGCAGCTGCAGTGCGCCACTGCTATTCTTAGCTGTGAAGACAGTGTGCAAGTACCTGGCCCAGCAGAGCTGGAGCTGGTGCACTGCTATCTGCCCAGCAGATCTCAGATAAATTATCCAGGAGATCTTGGTAGTGTGTAATTGAGTAGCTCTGCCACAGGCTGTGTGCTTCCAGCTATGTACGCTCTGCTGTGCATCGGGGCACAGTAATTGCTTGTTCCTGGGAAGCCAAGAGCTCTGGGTTCATCTCAATTGATTGTGCCTTCTTCTTGGAGATTTTGGAGGGACTCCTCAGATTCACTGATCGGATTTCATGCTTCCTCCTTTCCTGGTGGGAGGTTGCATACATCAAACAATCATGTTCCCTTGGCTACTTTTCCTATCCTAAAGATGTTTTGCCACCTGGTTTTTGGGGCAGTCTGTTCTAACACAGGAATGAAAAGCTCTGCAGATGCTGGGAGGGGGAGTGCCCTGGGAACGTCTTGAGCAGTGACCGGCTCTGTTCAGATCCAGTGTTAATGCCTCGGGAGCGATCTGCTTTCTAACAGCTGTCGGACCAAGGATCCCGAAGTCTTTCTCAACACTAACCAAGTCACAAGCTGACTCTCTTATCTGCCTTGCTGCTGCCCTGGGATGTGCTAACAGCTGCGACAAGCGACAGGGGGATGCCCCTTGTACAACACGACGTCTGCATCTGTGAGGGATTCGGGGCAGGACACGCTGTTGCATCTTGCTAACGGGTTTCACAGTTCTGCATGGCCATCTGCTGCTTGCTGGCTCTATCCTGTCCAGCTCTTGGTGTGCTCCTGCTGCTTTGTTGGCCTCAGCCAGCTCAGCTCTCCCCTCGCTTTCAAAGGAAAGGCTTGGCCTGGGGCCCAGCCCGAGCTGCATGTTGCACCCTGGTCCCCGAGTGTCAAGGCTGCTGGCACAGGCGCTGCTGGCGGTCAGCCCGGCGAACCCCTGGCACCAGCGTTAGCAAAAGGCGTGTGGCTGAATGACCTGACTGATCGTGCCGTCTCCGTCTCTCTCTCTGCCCCAGATCGGCGGACCATTCTTTGCCCGGATCTTCCGTTTCCACAGACTTTGGCAGCTGGCAGATGGTGACAGGGTGTGGCAGTATTCGAGAGCAGGCAATCCTGAGCGCAGACGCCTCTCTCCCTTGCAGCTTCCCGGATGAGTTCCCTAGCACTTGCCTGTAAGTGTCTCAAACACAGGATCTTTCCTTGGGTCTCTCAGCTGGCTGTGAGCGCTGAAACTTTATCACCCTGGCACTTTCGAAGAAGCCTGGGAGCCCGTGACAAACTATCCCATCTTCCCCGCCTTGATGCTTTCCATCCACAAATTCAGTCACTGAGCACTCTTTGCTTACGCTGAACTCGGAAAGAAACTGGCATTTTTTCTGCCTAGTGACGGGGGGGGCTCTTTGCTTTTGGTAGGTAGAAGAGGCTTTTCTCTCTTCCCTGAAGACACTGAATTTGGGCCTAACTGAGTGCGTTTGAGGATGCGTGCTTGTCGGGACGGGATTGGTAACCCAGATTTTCTTGCTTTTGGATCGTGCTCATCTCCATCTCCCTGCTGGGGTCAGATCCTTACTGCAGTAAGAGAGGGGCTTTCTGTAACCACAGTTTTGTCTGAGCACACGCAGCATCATTTGCAGGTGCTGTGTCTGGCCAGTGCAGAACAGCAGAGACCCTGCGTCCTGCCCTGTCAAACGACTGGGAGGCAAATGTTCCTCCCTAATTAAAAAGCTACCTCTGTGAAAGCTTGAAAGACGGGAGACGGCGTTTTAATTGCTGTTAGAAGAGAACCTTGGCTTGTGCCTTTAGGCTGCAAACTCTCAATCAAGAAACTGAAATGGCAGATGAGGGGCTGCCGCTAGCTAGCTGTGTTAGAGTTGTGCTGCCAAACGTTTGTGGTCCCTTACTGAGATCTGAGTATGTGCTCTGGAGGCAAGAGGGTAAGCGTCGTGAAAAATTACATCTCCTGTGAGACAGGCTAGCTGCCCTGGCTCCCCTTCTCATGTGGCTGCATGCTGTGCTGCTGAGCAGAGCAGCTGCCCCCGAGTTACAGTGAAGCTACAACACCCGTGAATTGGCAGATCAAAAAATCATGAGATGTATTGGACGTGGCCTGTCCAGGATTTACTCTCCTCCTTTCCTGAGGACACACTGAACTGCTCCTGCAGTTGTTTGGAGATGGGTGAGGGAGCAGAAGGGACTGAAGAATGGGCATCTGAATTAGTGACTGCTTTACTGTGCCCTGAACCTGGCTGTGCTAGGTGGCTACTGATCTCCAGCGAGTTGTTGCTGCCCTTGGAGCTGGATCTAACATCAGAATAGGGAATTCAGTAGAGAAACACGAATTGAAGTTGAGCTCTGAATCTGCCTGTGCTGAGACTGCAAGCCCATGTGGTTTGGAGTCTGGCTGCTGGGGACAGCCGGCTTCAAAGGGCGGGGAACAGTGGTGGTGCTTCCCCCTTGGTGTGCAGCAGATGCTGCGAGTGCTCTGCCCTGTTCGGCTCTTCACTGGAGCTGTGGGCTGCTCGGGAGCTGGGGACCGCTCGACTGCGGGGGCCGGGATCAGGCCCTGCGTGGAAGGGATGAAGAGTTGCCAAGGGTGTTGTGTTGAGCTTAACCCAGGGCCTCCACACTCTCTCTCTGCTCTGCATCAGCTCTGTTTGCTCAGGAGCCCATTGTGGTTTTATCCCAGTTTTTCGCAGCCCGGCACAGTATGACTTTTTGGAAAATTAAATTTCATTTAAGTTCCCACTTTACATCTCAGCTGGCAGCAGCTTGATGAAGGTACACTTTTCACAGCCTACTTCCTTGTGCTTGTGTGGGGCTTGTCAGGGCTTACTTCGAGCCTGGGCTTTGACAGCCTCCTCTCATTCTGCACCCCAAGCTGCAGACGAGCGGGCAGGCTGTAGGAAGTGGAGCAGGGCAGAGTGCCGTGGATTTGGCAGGGAAGCACGACCTGCCTCCTGCTTGAACTATCCGCTCAGAGCAAAGCGGTGCAGCTGGTCTGCAGGGCTTGGGGTCGGGCAGTGGCCAACTCCTTGACCCTACACCTTGGAGCGTCTCACTCCGTGAAAGAAATCTGAGAGCCTAAATACAGAACTTGCCCTGTGGTGAGGTGCTTCAGCCAGAAGATGCGGGACCTAACTGCTGCACGCCCTCGCTTACCTCTGCCTGTGACATAAGATCACTGTACTCGGGTGCAAGTAAGTCCTGCTTATTTTTAATGCTAGCAGGTTTGCGAGTTCCACGTCCTAATTAGGCTGCCATAAAGCATCTTTTTAATGTGTTTAGGTATGTTGCCTTTTTCCTTTGCCCTCTGGCTTCTCTTTATTATCAGGCACTGTAAACAGCGGCCCGATTGGCTGCCTCGGCATCGCTTGCTGTTTATAGGCCTCCCACCATATCCTCTTGCTGCTGTTTCCGGACCGAAGCTGTTGGCTGTGGGTGGTTAACACTTCCATTCAAATGAGCTGTGCCAATTTATAGCCAGCCCAGGCGCTGGAGAGATTAAAGAGAATTTTTTATGGGGAAGGTTTGCGCTGTGCCCTTGGGGTGACCTTTGAGGAGTGTCTTATTCTCTCTGGGAACCACCAGCACGTCTCAGAGGCGCTGCAGCAAGGACCGTTTGAGGCCAGAGCACTTGGAAGAACAGCCTCTGAACCCTAGGTCTTGCTTTCCCCTGCTCCCTCGCCTGAAATACCGCCTTCCCTCTGCTCTTTTCCCTCCGCCCCTAACCAGCTGCGTGGATCAGCTGGAGAGGAGAGCGAGTCCAGGGGGAAGCTGTGCCCTACTCTGCAGGCAGCCCTCCTGCTTGCACAGAGCAGCTGTGCTGGGGAGCAGAAGTAAAATGCCGCTTGTCTCTCCTCTTTTCACAGCCAGAGTGCTCCTTGGGGCTTTTGTCACCTTGTCTGCCCCTTCTTATTCCCCACAGAGGCTGGTGGAAGCGAGGGCCAGTCGCAGATTAGGATGGAAGCGACTGGCCAGGCTCTGTCTGGGAAGGCTGTGCCAGGAGGGGAGGGAGCTGGCGTGGGGGCTCACGTCAGCCAGCACCCCCTTGGCCAAATGTATG